TTCAGTATACAACCCGGACAGTTCTTGTACAACACATTTTGAATTGAACATTGCTCCAAAAGCTTCAAATATCTTCTTTTTTTTTTTTTTTGCTTTTCCAAGCAAATATTTATATTCAAGTCTCCATGGCCACCCCATGAATATTTCTCTAGATCCGCCCCTGGTTTCTTTGCAGGAGGAGGCTGTTTAACAAGAGTGAAGGCTCTGTCGATATAGCTTATGTTCAGGTCTTCACTATGCCCTTATCCTGTAAAATTAAGTTTATTTATATCTTAAATAATAATATATAATCTATTCTATAATCTATAATCATTTTAAAATAACAATTTCATTTATTTTTCTTCACAGAGTTGAATGATATGCTTAGATATAGGCCTACTGTATACATATTTTTTCTTACACCCCTTAAAACCCAGAAGGCCTCACAACCCCTGGACACCAAACGTGGACAAAATTGTGACCATTATACATTAAGTCACTTGATGTTCTATTGAAACAAGAGTTAAATAGCTGCAGCCAGCCTGGTTTTGCTAAATACTTTTCTCCTCATCTGCCAGCGTTGGCTCCTAAAAATGGTTAAAATAGTTTTTGGCTGTGTATTTTGTCAAAATTCTCAAGATATTTAAATATAACAAAGAGACAGAGTGTGTGGGTGTGTGTTTGGCTGCCTGCGGCTCACTGTCAAATCTGGTGATGTCAATAAGTGAGGGTGAAGAAAATGTGGGGAACAGGAATGGGAAATCTACAGGAACCGAGGGAGCTGCTAGATAAAACAGCACAGAACAGCTAAGATGAGGATGTAAGGTACATAAAGAGAGTGATTGGACAGATCTGAGACGAAAGAGAAAAACTGGAGGAGGATGTGGAGGAGTTAAGAAGATATGAGAAGGGTGTTGGAGGGGTGGGGTGGGGGGACACACGGGGTCGTCTGTGTGGGTCCAGAAAGTCTTGTGTCCCGGCTGGCCAGGCTATCACATGCAGCAGAGCCAGTGAGAGTCTGAGATACGAGGAATTAGGGAGTCCCACGTGGACATGGTTCTTTTCACACAAGCGTAAAAGATCAGATCAATTGCTGATGCCTTTTTATGTGTCTGAAACCAGTCTGATTACACTGCAGGCTGGGAAGAAAAAATAAACAAATAAATTAAAAAATTTAATAGTTTATATAAATACTATATATAAGCTCAAGTAAACTCATTACTCAAGTCATTAATTAGAGGTGCATGCAATATTAATAAAAATAATATATTTAAAAAAAATAAAATTCTGCCTGCGCCCAACCCCAAACTTGGCGGGTCGTGTCGGGTTTTTAAACGAGGGTCAGGTAGTCCTGGAGTAGGCCACTGTAAAAATGAATACAGGAATTTAGTGGACTCAACTAACTTAATGTAAATATACAAGTATAATTTATTTCAAGTTAATTAAACTTAAACACTACTTCAGAACTTACAAATGTAAGTTCCTCTAACTTCTCTTTTGATATCTCAAGTGTTTTGACTTGAAATGATGAACTGAATGTATTAATGAGTTCAATCAACTCATTAAGTTAAGTTTCTAAAGAAACATAATCAGCATATTAGCAGACTTCCCAGCATACATGGTTTGAAAATTAAAACTCTCCTAATACCTAATATTTTTATATAGTTTTAAGAAAATGTATCTAATGGGAACTTGCTGTTTGGCTCTAATACATTTCAAGACAAGTCATGGTGAACCTTGGTGAAGGTTACTGTTGAATTCAGTCCCCATTACAAACATTAAAATGAATGACTTCACTGGGTTTCACACAATGTCTTCATGCCAGAGTTGGAATGAAGTAGCTAAAACAGGAGCAGCTGTATGTTCTTTGTGTAAATGAAGAACTGACTATCCAAGCTGAGAAAATGTAAAAGGAAATCAAGTTTGTTTATAATGTTGGTCAGTGTGACCAAACAGTTGTTGGTTCAACTTAATATCTTAAGCTTATTGAACATGTTTTCATAAATGCAGTTAACTTAACTCAATTGGTTTTATACGCAACTCAATAAGAACTAAATGTTCAACCGAAGTTCAGTTAACTTTATACGGCAGCAAATAAACTTACATTTTTAAGTTGAACCAGCTCAAAATTATTTACAGTGCATTGCTAGTTTCTAACAAGATTTCGCCTTTAGG